AAAACTGGCTTATAAAGAGAAGGTGGACTACACGTTAAGCTTAATGAAATAACAAATCTGGGCAAAATGTGAAGCTACAGTCTGGTTTTGGGGTTATTTTGAATTACTACTGAAATAATTTCAGCTAGTATTTGGGTGAGGTCACATTGGTTTCAGAGGAATTTATCTTCGACACCAGCTGACTGTTGAACTCTGAGCAACTGTTTTCTGGAGGTAATTCGAATGAGTTGAAATCAGTCTACTTACTGGACCTTGGTGATAGTTGAAGCCCCGAGCTCTGTTCGACTCATGGCCATCATAGGAGTTGTCATAATCACCAACATACGCCCAGTCCCTAAAAATGGGGGGGGGTCAAGTCAGGTTTGATCAAAATGGAAAAAAAGATTACTTTATCTGATCAATGCATTTGTACTCTAACAAAGGACCATACAATGCAAACTAGCAACGTGTTTATTGAGGCAACATGGCAATGTGTTTAAAAGGAGGCATTCCAAAAGATAGAGGTGTGTCACCACATGCTACCTTGTCTTTATGACATGGGAGAAAGTACTTAAATGTAAGATTCTACTTACGATGGATCCAGTGTTTTCATCCCTAGAGGACCCAGCAAGAGTTCCTCAGCTATGTTCAGAGCAGTCCATGCTCTTGACGGAGTGAACAGCTCTGGGGCCTGATGAGAGAGATTAATTTCCACCATGCACTGAATGCCATCAAAGCAATTTAGATGAGGACTTGAGCAATTGCAGGATAACAGGGTTTAACAGGACAGACCGAGAAAAAAAACTAGTTTGATGTGAATTATCTGCGACCAACTCACCACCACCATGGCGATAGGGTAGTTTGGCCGTAGCTGGTAGTCGGCCCAGAACTGCGAGGCACCCACTGAGTCTTTGTAGATCCCTCGTCGGTTGATGAGCTTGTCGCCTTCTTTGCTGGCGTCGGGAGGGATCCAGAACTCCTTCTCAAAGTTGGCCTGGAGTTTGGCGCCCCACTCTTTGTAGCTCATCTGGGTTGGTTTGCCTGGTCGTCGGAGAACAACGTGTTAAGACCAAAAAATTAATTACTCCAAATGGTGCTTTCTTTCAGGATAAGCATTAACTTGCCTTCCGATGCTGCCATCCAGGTTCAAAGCCTGTCCACACAGTGATGGTCCTGTATCTAGTCACACCCATCTGTTATTGGCATGTCCTTCTACATGGGCCCCCATCAAACTGCACCATTCGTGATTAAGTCTATACTAAAAGAAGCTCTTAACACCAATCAGTGTTGAGTCAACACTTCAACTTCCTTAACAGGATTCCAAGCAAGGCACGACTTACCATCCAGTCTGACAGTGACTCCGCTGTGAGGATAGTGACCAGCCTCATGCATCTTGACCAACCACCTCACTGCTGCCTTGCACAACCCCACAATCTCAACGGCAGAACCGTCTCTGTCAAATCAAACCACAGACAGTCAAACATAAGGACAGGTCAGGACAAACAGATTCAATACAAACAGCAATTTATAAACAGGCAAATCCCTTCACGGGCATGGCTCTGTTTACATTTACAACATTTGCAAAATGCATTTGTTTAAAGAAACAAAATAAAAACTTTTATCTTTGAAAAAAATAAATTCTAAGAAAGTCTTCTTGGTTGGCAATTATGGCCCTTTCATGTTGCAGTTATTTTGGTAAAAGTTATCTGTGGGCCCTGAACATAAATTCTGAACAGGATGAATTGAACTGTGGATGACGGCTTACCTTGGAGTTGCTGGTGTGCCACGGTTCCCCCCCAAATCCGACTCGCCCACTTTGTCCATCCATGTCCCACAATTCCATTTACTTCCTCCAAACGGGAACCCTGTCTCCAGGTCCACTCCAACAGTGACATTAAAACCTATGAGCAGAACAAAGTTGGTTACAAGAATCCCCAGCAGGGATTGTTGGCTTACAAAGGAAGACAGGAGCGATAGTAAACAGAAATGATTGAATTCTGTTAAAAACCTTCGTCTGACATGTTCTGGTCCAGACCCTTCCCAGCATGCCTCTCTCGATAGGAGATGCCCTCAATGTGGCGTTGCATTGCCTCCTGGATGACGTCAGACAGAGGCTGGTCCTACAAATCAAGGAACATTGCCAAAGAACATTGCCAGTCAGAGTCCGAGTTGATACAAGCAAGATGTAAGCAGCCCACTGGAACTGTACACAGCACTGAGTGGGCTCATCATAACAGCCAATAATGGGATAGCTGGAAGTTTTCATCAAAATGTGCACAAGCTGGAAGCATTTCCACGACAGATGTTTCATTGTGGCTCCACTACAGAAGAGAAATGTAGTTTATGTCCTAATTTGTAAAGCACTGATGTTGTAGCTTAATGCACGTTTCACTCTGTCAATTGAGGTCAACTCCCATCTTTTCATCATCAAAGTCACATATTTTTTCCACATTTCTGATATTTAGTTCCATTTTCCAAATGTTGACTTTATTCTGATCTTTGGTTTGATCTAAATCTGCACAAATAGATTCAAACATTTATTGTGATGACCAAGGATACACTCCCCAACTTTGGGCTTTGTTTTAGACAATCTGATGCTTCTAGAGCAGAAGATGAAGCAGTGTTGAGCTGCAGCGTCTAAACTCAAGGAACTAAATTCAAAAGGTTGAGATTGAAAATTGATTTTAAAACAATCATTAACCAACCACAAAGCCAACGGGCTGGGGCTCGTCCTCATCCCCAGGGAAGATTCTGGAGACAGGGCAGTCCAGTATGCTATGGCCCTCTTCCACCGCTTGGCAATAGAGCTGGATACAATACAACCACCACCAGATGGCATCGCGGCAGTTGTAACGAGCATGGGAGCCACCGCCTAGAAGGTTAGGGATGACACCGTGGCGTAGCGTTGCAGCGTAGGCAAGAATCAAGAATCTGAAACATGGACAGAAGAGATCATGATTGTGGTAAAGGGTCAAACCTTGAAGGGTACGACAAAATTCAGGGACTAACACTGGATAATAATTTCATCTGATTTGCTAAGCAATTAGTTTCTATGCAAGAAACTTATTACTCCTGTGACGTGTGTTGGTTTTACTTCAATGTGATTTTTTTCAGTTTTGCTCTTCATTACTTGTTAATTTATTGAGCTGTACGTGTTGTCTGAGAGCTCATGAAGACAAACTGACCAACTGACAAGAACAGACATACTGCTTAGTAGAGCTGACATCTTTAATAACTATTTGGTCAACTCAGACAGCATGGTCCCTAAAAGAAACACTAAAACAAGAAACTTCCAGCCCTTTTTAATTGGGAAATTCCTGATAATGTTATTCACTTAGCCTCCTCTGTTCTGCCGGTTACTATCAGTAACCCTGGCACAGCGATGAATGTGTCCCTCCCCCAGCTTCTCATGAACCCTCCCGAAAAGTGGGGCAGTCCGGCTGCCATGGTGACAGCAGACTGTTGCCTGCGATTGGTCTCCTCATCCATTGCCATGGGAATGCCCGACAGCTTAGGGGACAGCTGGGGGAGAGGGGAGGTCTTGACTAGGCCGCACATCTGCACTGAACCCAGGGCGAGAGCTCGAGTGAAGGAAGAGCCCTCAGACACAAACCTGGAAAACACAGTCACAAGGTAAAATATCAAAATGTGTTTTGGAACAAAAGCATTGGCCTGCAAGATGGCAGCCATGCAAACCCTCTATAAGCGGACATTCATCATAAAGGGAGACATGGGTACAAGATCCCAACTTAGACTTAATCCTGAACTTAGGAATACAACTTTAAGGTCTTAAGACATGTACCTGGACTGGTCCAAGATTAAAACAATATTAAAACTCCTTTAGAAATGAGAGTTATGCTGTGGATAACTCTGGACCATTTCCATGTTTTCTTCCAAGTTTTGAACTTCAAGGACAACCAGTTTTGTAACTGTCTAGGTCTTTACTCCCACGTGACTACAGTACCGACTGTCGGGTTCAAACTTGGTTAGATGTCTGACTGATCAACTGGTTAACTGGCAAACAGTTGTTACTGACTTAGACATTGTTTTCCAGCAGAGGTCAAGCAAAGTCACGTAGGCCCCCACCATGATGGCATCAAAGTAACAAGGGATGAGGTAGCGTGGAATCAAGCTGCAACTGGAGAAGGCCGCCTGGAACCACTTGCCAAGCTAAAGCACACAAAAAAAACATTATTGTGTCAAAGTACCTTGCTTGTGGACACAAAACAATAGGGTCACACTCAGAAAGAGCTGAAGTCCAACAGCACTACAAATAAACTTGTCTAGAAGGTGCTTGACGTAACTTTCTTGTCAGAATTATTGCCCAAGCAAGCATTTTGAAGTTTTATCAGCATAACCCTTTTCTGCAATCACACAACCTTGGCTTTTTTTAAACAACTGGGCTTTCCCTTATTGGAATAAACATTACAAGTCTCTGGCACACTGTTAGGAATTGAGAGGCCTTACTTGTCTAGTGCTGGCATGCAGCTGTAGTCTGTTGCCTATGTATTGAGGCATCCAGTCTCCTTGTCGTAGGTTCTCGCACAGAGGGTGACCTAGGTCATTCTTGCTTCGAATCTTGCTGAGAACAGACATGAAACCTGCAGCGAGGAGACGGAAAAGCTTAATCTTGAGAATGACAGCATCATTTCAAATGCACATCTTCATGTATGGTTCCAGAAATCTGTCCCTGTAAGATTGACAAGATGCTCCGAAGTCACAGTTTCATTTTAGACTGAAGTTGCTCAAGCTTTCACTCAAGCTGTTACGTTTACCTTGTAACCCACAGTACACTAGGCTGCCGTAGTGTGGGATGTGATAAGCATCTGAGCCTTTTCCATCATCGCGTTCCTCCATGTCACAACGGTACAGAACTCGATTCATGTCAGCCAGGGACAGCTTGCTAGCAATGGCGAGGAAGTTAGAAGTCTCAGACAGTTGGTTGGGCGAGTTGCCACTCAGGGTTCGTACCCGGTAACCAAACTGGGAGATACACGCCCGCAGATCAGACAGGGCCTTGCGTGAGGCTGGGTTCAGCGTGACTCTGAATGTTTTTCCCGAGAAACAAAAATGTTACTTGCTTAGAAGTCAAAAATCAATTTCTTTTCTCTGTGATGCAGTTCATTCCAGGAGAAAACTCGACTTACCTGAACGCAATGACACTGCCAGGGGGGAAGTTGATGAAGTCGATCTCCTGGACAGATGACTGTTTCTCTGCTCCGTGGTCAGACAGCTCCACCATTCCACTACTGTACAGGTGAATGTTGCACTGAAGCTTTACAGTGAAGTGACCGAGCCCGTTGATGTGGGTGTCACTCTTTGGGGGCGGGTCATCCGCCCTCTTAACCATGCATGCTTCCAGGACGATCTCTTCAACAACTCCTACACAAGGAGAACGAAAGGAGCATCTATGAGCCTTGAGCTGGACCAAGAGAGGGCGCAATTTTCTTAGCAACAGAGGCTCCTTTGGTAAGAACTGCACTTCACTGGTTTACTAATGACGCTACTCTACCAATAAAGTGAACATTCTTGACACATATGGCTCTTTTCAACCACTGAGGGGGTACTTCTGCTTGAGACAGCTAGTTGAGGAACCTTTGCCAAAGCCAGAATGTTTTGAACATTCTTCTAGTGAATATGACCTGTTTAAGGGAGGTTTATACGAATGCAGTGCATACTGCTGATGGATAACTGACTAGTTCAGATTACACACCAAACTGGTTAAAAAAATAAAGAACTCTTACCTGGTATAGTTAAGCAGTATGAAAACCGATGTAATTTGGATTGGAAGGAATATAGTGTGTTATGAAGATAACTAACTAGTTAAGATTACTGACTGCATCAAACTGGGTTAACTCTTACCTGGTACACAGGAAGGAAAAATGAAAACCAGTGTAATCTGAGTGCCATGAAGATAACCAACTAGTTAAGATTACTGACTGCATTCATCCAGATTAACTCTTACCTGGTACACAGAGTGGTGGGATATAACCAGTGTAATTTGGATTAGAAGGATGTTTGAATGCAGTACGTGCCATGAGGATAACGGACTGATGTGAGACAGGGTTGTGGCGCGTCACTGCTACAATATTCTCATCCACTTGATCCACATACACCTGCAAAACAACAGGCTCAGTTTGTAAGTGCTTGTAAGATCTGTGCAGACACGGCAGAGGGCGCTATGCAGTTTGGTTGCAAAAGAAGACAACAGAATGCCCTGTGTACCAAAAAACAAGACCGGCATTCCTTATATCTGTCTTTACATTTCAACAAAATATCAAGTAAACATCAGCTGACAATGACATGAAAGTTTTAAATTTAAGTATACACACAACTTGTAATTAGATAGAAATGTAAAAAAAGGATTTGGAAATGCCAAACAGTGACTCTTTTACAATGCAGTTGTAATCTGGAGTAAGACGGTGGCTTTCAGCACTTACACACTTTCTGTTTGACTGGCCCTCATCATATGTTGTATAAATCTACCGTCACCCATTATCAAACTCCTAGCTTGTTTCTTTCTGTTCAGGTGTCGTGGTTGAGACCATCACAAGGCCAAACACAAGAACTAGGGTGGATGACGACAAAGGAATGCTTTTGGTGCAGTTCAGTTGAATAGCTTACGACTACTGATGGCCTTCTGATGGTCTTGTGATGGCCTTGTGATGGCCTTGTGATGGCCTTGTGATGGTCTTGTGATGGTCTTGTGATGGTCTTTGAAGTTTGAATAGAGCTGGATCTGGATACGGAATGACTCCTCTGATAAAATGTGATGGTCTTGTGATGGTCTTGTGATGGTCTTGTGATGGCCTTGTGATGGTCTTGTGATGGTCTTGTGATGGCCTTGTGATGGTCTTGTGATGGTCTTGTGATGGTCTTGTGATGGTCTTGTCGGGTTTATGAGGTCCTGACTACAGCACTGTTCTCTTACCTGGGTGTAACCCTTTGCTCCCAATGTCTGGTGTAGCTCATTCAGGACTCTCTTGGCAGTGATGATGCCGTGGTTGTGACCAACCTCCTCAAGGTGGCAGACATCAGCATCCTCCCTCCAGGAGGTGTAGAGACGGTTCTCCTTGACCACATGAATCTGAGGGGAACAGCCAAGAAATCTCTTAATTCCTGACTGAAGTTTGAATAGAGCTGGATCTGGATACGGAATGACTCCTCTAATAAAATGGATGACCACATCACTCGACCTGAAGACCAGGAACTGGGGGTACTAAGTCAATTTGTAATGAGCCCGTATCGCAGATCTGAAGCAGTCATACTTTTCTATATCCAGAAAACTGTGAGGCAAGTTGTTCTAGTGGGGTATTGTCCAGTGGAAAACGCTGTTTGCATATGTAGACAATTTCGCTACAGTTTGTGTGTGTGGTGATAATGGAGACTGTGTGGAGAGTGTCTGAAGATTATAGAACTGCTTACCAATGTACACCGACTTGTCAGGCTCCAAACTGACTGAGTGCTGTCTTCACAGCACAAACACTAAAGCCACAGAATTGTACAAGTCATTGCCAGTCTCATTCAGTAAAGTGTGGTTGGCAGTCTAGGCCCAGACTTACATGTTCCGGGACCAGTTCATCATATCCTCTACTCGATCCAACAGCACAACATGCCATGCAAACCAACGCAGCTGAAGGTAGCAGATCATAAACAGAACGGGTCTGAAATAAAAAGAAAAACATGACAACAACCCAATCCATGTACTTAGAAAGCAACCACCAAAAGAGAGAAGTATTCCACACAATGTTATACCCTACCAGAACAAAGAATGGATAAAAAATGACAACAAACACACAAATTCATAACAAAAGTCAAGTCTTTGAGTCAAACTGACTATGGACCAGAAACACACATAGACTCAAAACTCAGAAATCTTGCAATTCCCTGCTGGGTATACAGGTTGCTGTAATTAGAGATTTAAAACTCTCCTGATGAAAGAAGGCTGGCAGCAACAGGTGTTGGCTTACGATAACACTTGCTGGTGTGCACAGTCTAATGGGCAATCCGCTACATTTCTATGCAGTGTTCCTGTAGAGGCTTTGCATGGTAGCCATCTTGCAGGGCAGTTCTTTTGTTCCACAGGGGAACCTCCTTTGTTCATATCCTGTGGAACAAAAGCACTGGCCTGCAAGATGGCAGCCATGCAAGCCCTCCATTGGTTCATTGATTACAGTTACTTGATGATCACAATTGTGGTCCGACCTACCAGGACTGGGCTCATGTTGTCGTGGGTTATGTCCATCAGAAGAGCATGGCTCATGCTGGGGCTCAGCGGCCTCACGTGGGGTTGCAGGAAGGAGCCGACTGGCTCCCCACCATAGCGGTAAACAAGACGCCCCAACTCATGAGCATCACCAGCACTCATTGCCTCTGTGGAGAAAAATATAAACAACTGAAAAGGTTTGGTTGTTCTCCGTCATCTCTTCTTAGAAAAACAACAAACGTTTTGGGTTGACTATTATGGAGTAACTAGGAAGGATTTTTCTTACCTCTGATAAGAGAGTTGATGCCGAGTCTGTTGATGAACACATTGTCAACATGCTCTGATTGTGTAAATAATTCTGCAACCACATAAAGGTCTGGTCGTACCCTCCGAGCCTCATCAAGAAAGTACTAGATATGCAAAAATAAATCATTCTATGAAAAGTATACAACCCCCAAATTAACATACACATTCATTATGTGAAGAAGCTCTTACACATTACATGCAATCAATGTCAGAATTATTTCCAAACGTATTGATGTTTTCACAATTGAAGGATTGAATGCCATATTTACAATTTTTATAATTTTTCTACAAATTTTGATAATGGCTTGGTAAGATTTCATTTCTGATGATAAAACCATGGTTTCCCGTTACAAAGTTAACCAACGTCAGCTTCCAAGCTGTTGAGAGGCAAGTACCTGCTAGAAGTTGATAACAAAGCAATGCTGAGCTGTGAAATGTGGAGAAACCCTACAAAAGACTTCTTTGTAAAAATAATCCAAATCGAACACCCACCTAAATGGGAATCAACTCAGGCAGAACAGGTGAAAAGTCAGCAAAGTTTTCCCCTACCAACCTAACTCCCCCACAGAGAAACACCATGAAGGATAGCATGAAGGTATAACACGAGCACTGCCTACCTCAGCTACGTGCACCGGAGTGTTGTGGCAGTTATCAATGCGCAGTCCATGAAACATCCGTGCCATGGTCCGTGAGTACTCCAGCATGTGGTTCCACAGGAAAGGGCAATCATCTGGTGTCTCCCCGTACCGCAGCTTGACCGAGTCTCCCCAGACTATCAGCTCCCGTCGCAGGTACACCTTGGAGTCTGCCTCGGCAAAGTTCTTCAAGGGGTCAGCGTTCATAACCCAGCCATTGCCAATCTGAAGGAAGGGAGCCTTGTCACTGTCCATGAGGGCTTCTTCAGTGGTAGGGTCTGTGTCTGGACCATAGTGAATGAAATACCTATGCAAAAATAATGATAAACTCAGTGAGAATATACCCCTTGAAGAATATGCCCCATGCAATATATCCCTTGTAAGAATATATTCCATGTAAGAATATATCCCATGCAAGAATATATTGCATATATTATTATATCCCTTGAATATATCATATAAGAATATGTCCCAAGTAAGAATATATCCCATGCAAGAACACCGTGGTATATTTCTCAGCCGAGTTCATCTTATTACTGGTTGGCGAGGTTAAACTTACTTGGGTACCAATGGATCTTTGATAGTGACCTCTTCACACCGTGGGCCGTGCTCCTCGACATGATGGTAGCGTATGTTGGCGATGACATTGTGCAGTGCATGGCGGATATCCTCTGACATGTCCTCGGCTGCCCTGTTGTTCCAGTACAGAAGATGCTTCCTGAAAGCATCGCAAGATTTCTCGAGTCTCTCCTCTTCACCTTTGGCATCACTCCTACTTCCAAGAAAGACAAACTCATTTTCAAAAACCAATCTTTGTTACCACAAAAAAAATCACCTACTATGAATTTCAAAAGGGCACAGATCTGTCCGCAGATGCTGCATGAACTACTCTTTGTCCAATTTGTTTAAAGCCCGGAGTAAGGGCTAGGGTCCTACCTCTGTATATTGAAGCACTGTAGGGCTTTCTCCATGTTGACTGAACCCCTCAGTCTTCGAAACATCGGATCTTTGATCAATTTGACATCATCTTCCTTGGAATCTTCAGCAGAGGAAACTGTCTTTGCAGCTGTAAATTAGCATATCAATAAAAACAACTTTCACTACAACTCAATTCTAGTCACCTTTTTAACTGAATCAAAGTCAACACACACCTACTTAAAGCAATACGAGGAAAAATGTTAAGAGTCCTCCCTTCGTTCTATGCTTTCCAAACAGGCTGTCAGCAATCCAGAAACAACCACTGTATGACGTGATGTAACATACCTTTAGCTGCCATCTTAAACTTCTCGACAGTAGCCTCCACGTCTAGTTGGTAGAATTCCTCCAACTTGTATTTGGGTAGCACTTTGTCGGCTAGCACACTGCGTATGTTCTGTACAAGATGACAATGCAGCAAAATCAGGAAGGCTTCTCATTTTGACTTCTTACAGAAACCACTAAGTAAATCATTTATTTCTCTCTACAGATTCAGAAGCTAAGACAATCTAGAAGAAACATTTAAAGATCTTTTTTGTCTGTGTTGTCATTTAATATCTCCTGACTTTGATAAGAAGAGGTCTGTGACCTTATCAGTGTAATTGTTACTAGGAAATTAGCATGACGAGAAAGACTCATGAACAGAAGAGAATTGATGAATAAGGGGGCATGGCTTTACCTGAATCTGCTCTTCCGTTTTGATGATTGGCGGTACGCCATGCTCCGCCCAATTTCCGTCTATTACCTCCAGGGTGAAGTGCCACAGTGCACGGTCCAGGACATATGCTGGCCGGAGATGGGGGGAGTTCTGGACATTGTAGGCACACTCTGGGTGCTCCTTCAGCCAGGGACTGTCAAAGGAGGTGTGGTTCCAGACCACGTCACACAGACTGAGCATGCCCCAGTCATACTGAAGCTTGACCACCAAGGCTGAGATGTCATCGTTGGTGACGGCCTGCTGGTCCTTTCCAGTGAAGTTGGGATTGAGTTTCAGCTGTAGAATTCGTCAAGAATGGAAAATGCCACTGTTGTAAAACTTTTCAATTCACAGTTGCCTTTTGTTTGTACCAAGACTTCAGGCAAAATACTATTACCACAGAATTTGGAGGAATGGATCCGTGTGTGAATTGAAAGAGGAAGTCATTGGTTTGATAGTTGGACTTGTGCCAGGCCACTTACACATTTTCATAGAGTTTGGGTTATAAGCAAGCCCTAAAGCTTGAAACCTTTACTAGAAACTCCAAAGATTGTTAACAATCTTTTCTATGGATGATCCTCAGAACAAAAACCTTCACTAGAATGCCCAATGGGCTCTGTGCTTTTACAGCCTTCAAAATTTCTCGCCAATAAGTGTAACCTTGCATCCAAAGAAAACAACTATACATGGAGACAGAATATTTTGTTCTGGCATTTGTATGGAAAACCACTGGAGTTGACAATCTGTGTATTTTTTAAAAAATCATTTCACCTGATTGCGAATGGAGTAAGAGGAATTTGAAGCGCCCAGCTCCTGGATGGGAGTGAAGTGAAGGACGTTGTAACCTGTCTCCCTGGCTGTGGCCAGACGCTGCTCCCATTCCGATAGTGGACCTAGACACTTGGTCAGCACCGTCTGCAGAGTAATGCAGTCCAGCTCTAGGATGTCCACATCACTGGTCAGTTTAAGGGTAGGGTCAACAATGAAATAGCCTGACCCTTGAGGTGTATTGCTATTCATAAAAAACAAAGAAATTAGTGGATAACTGAACAGAGAAGCGTGAATTAATTGTGCATGTCTGCAACTACAAAATTTGAGTTATGTAGAATAAGAGACATATGTAGTCTTTCATGAGTACTGTAACATAACAAAATGTGCTGACTCATCATGATTCAGCATTTTGGGCAGTCAGAATTAAATCCATTTTAGGAGTTGGCTAAAATTTGATAGTTGAGTATGTTCCAATAAGGACAGCTTCAGCTATCACTAGACCTTCAAGAAGGGCTATTCGGGACTTAAATTTCAAATTTTACCAACTATGAAGTGCCCTCAACCGCTCATGCACGACTTGGAAATACCAACTTACCTACTTCCGTGCGTGAAATAATATTGGAACGCTCCGGCAATGTGAAGGCGTACTTCGCAGTACTGGTCGGACTTGTCAAGGCGCGACTTGGACTCTGACTTCCACTCTAATTCATAGAACTCCCTGCGGTTGAAGGGGCGTTGGACGGGGGCTGGACCAGGTGGGTGGTTAGTAAAGACATGAACCTGTTTGGAAAGGAGAGATGGGCCGAGGACAAAGTGTAATCTCCATCCTGTAAAGAGAGAAATATCAGAATGCAATCATAACTCTTATAACCCTCAACCAAGCAAACCAACAACAAACTTGATATGAATTTCAGCTTGTTTTCTTCTCAATTCATAACATTTTCAACCATTATTTTCAGTCCAAATTTTTACAGCATTATTGTGCAGTATCGGTCCCTCGCAGTTAAGACGGGATTACATTGAGGGTGTTCATTTTATACCAGGTATCGTCCTTGCACTGACGTGAATTGGTACTGTATTCTCAGGGTAGTCAGAGAGTTGCATAAAAATCACAGGTTTGATTGGGTGGGATTTAAATTCACAACTTCCTGCTTAAGACATCTGTCCTAGTAAGTAGAGAGCCGCGGGTTTAAATCCCACCTGAGTAAGCTTGTGGTTGTTTTTGCAACCTCAGACTGTACTGAACCCTGGTACAAAATGAAATGTCGTATTTTAACCTGGCTGATTACATGCACACCTTCAGTCACCAGGGAATATCAAATTCATTTACAGGTCAAATGCTTACAAACATCGGGTTGTGTACAACCTCACTGCTCAGATCCAATCATGCATAATGCTGAATTGCCCCATAAAATGTGGCCCAGAAATTCTGGCTTAGGGGGCCACATGTCTAGTGGCCTGCTTTGTGTGTAATTTCTGATGGTCATATCAAATGAAGTAACTTCTCTAATGACACTCTTTTGTACAAATACGGACAGGATTGATAACAGTAAGAAAGTACATGTAATTATTACGGTATAGCATATCACAACCCCCCCCCATAATGGAAAGAAAAACCAATGTATGCATAATATGGCACTTTGGTGTCTTTTCGCTTACTAGTTTCTAAAAGACTGCAAGGAAGCTTTGTAAAAAAATGACTCCTCCTTCATGTGTGTGTGACCTTCAACCTTAATTTGACCTACCTTTCTGAAGTCTGTACAGGGTCGTGTCCTTGTGTTCCTTGTCATTCAATGTTAGCTGGCGAATCTGTTCCATCTCCACCTGTGGAGAAAAAAAAAACAAAAAATGTGCTGGAACATTCTCGCGGTCGGCGTGACATCATTAAGGACTTTTTAACACACGGCAAAGGGGCAAATTTACCCTTCGTGCTATTCAATAACGTACAGCAGAAGTTCCTGTATGTCCAACAACAAGAATAAGTATTTGAACCTCAGGGGAAGTGGCTAGTATATTACTCGTGCTAAACCACTTTACCAAACATTTGGCATGCTGGGATATTCATGTCATTGTGAGGACCTTCAAGAACACCAACATATCCTACCGTCAGTGGGCCCTGTTACAGTGGTACAACATGGGTGCCATACAGGCTGCATAGAGGGAAAATGCAAGACTGGTTGACCCCGAAAAACGTAGACATTTATGTATGTAAGCCTACCTCCATGCATGCACATGCCCTCCATGTACAGTTCTTAGCACAACAATTCACAACTAAATGGGCTTGGCTCTAACTTCAGGTATAAAAATGTATTATTTCCGGTTAGTTAGCGATTAGGGCCTCGGCATATGACGTGATACAGTAAACAGTGGTGACCCAGGCCTATTTCGGCTGATCATACTTGGCCTAATTCATAATTGAAATGAAAGAAACAAGTATAGTAGGCCCTATTTAACGTTTGGTGCCTGTATAGGCCGAGGCCCACACTGCACATCATGCATGGCCCGCCTAGCCTAGCATGATTTAAGTGGACAAAACGGTTATGTGATAATCAGAAATATGTACCTTTTCCTGTGCACAAGGAATGTAGACTTACACCTCTGTACTGTGGCTATTTCCGGATACTGTATGGAGCAGATACCGGCATATCTCTGCTGGCTTGCTGCGATTCCGAGGCCGTCACGTAAACTGTACTGCTTCGGGATATTTAAATTGGCCACGCCGAATAAATATATCCCATTTAGGTGATATTATGCATTGCAAGTCGCAATGATGTATCACTTACATTGAATGGAAAACCCGATTGGGAGAGGTTCCAGATTGGAGTAGTTTAATGACGTGACATCTGACACACCTCCACGATTGGCCAATCAAAATTGACTGTGGAATTTTGCCAGTCATTTTCGGCTTTCGTGCCGATGAGTTTATGACTTGCAAAAATAAGCTTTTATTTTCACACTGGCAAATAATGATAGTGGATATCACATGATTGTGCAAAAAGTTGTTTCCGAGAATTTTATCCTGTATTGGTAGGGCGTACTCAGAAATAAAAAGAACGTAGGATGCTATAATATGCAGAAGTTGTTTACCAAAATCCGTCTCACGGAAGTTCAGGTGTTTCAGGAATTTTCTTTTCATGACGCAACCCTACTCATCAACCGTAGCATCGGTTGACTTTTGGGCCCCTGGTTATTTCTGGGATCTGCACGTGTTCTCGGTCTATTATCGGTTATACTAAAGTCGCACACTTGTTCTAAAGTACATGTAATTTGGTTATGTCACTGAGCATTTGATTTTTTTTACAAGTCAGCAGAGCTGTGCTAACTGTAGGCCTATAGTTCTGTATCGAATTTGACTAGGATGCCATCGGGATTAAATTGAAAGTGCGCGCTGATCGCTGCCAAAGTGGGCGCATACTTTCACTAGCTTTACTCCCTTTGAAACTTGGCTAGAAGGGATTACTTCAACGTGGACAGATTTTTTGACGCCGTAGGGGTGGGTGATGGCTCATCAAACGGCCGACACTGAGCATCAGATGAGCGCGTTACGCCTTTATGATTACCCAACCACGTGGTGGAGAAACGTATTTAAACCCGGCGCACTCTGCTGGAAGGCCTCTTTGACGCCGTCTCTCTCCAGAGTACTCGGTTCCTTGGACTGTGTGTTGCCAAACACTTGGCGAATTCTTCAGGCTCAGCAGCTCCGCATATCGGGTGAGAAGCCACATACTTGTTGGCTGTAGAATCTGGGTGTGGTCGACATACACTCGCTGTTTGAAATTAAATTATCTACGCGGCATCCTCGCATTAGAGCAGTTGATTTACCCTTCTAAAATTTTCAGTTTGGTAGGCAGGCCGAAACAGTCTTGTGTATAATTGCATTCATCTTTACCCCTTGCAGGAATAGACAGCCATGTCTGTGATGGCCGATACCATCTTCTATGGAGGTGATATCATCACCATGGAGGAGCCCAATGCCAACCCTCGTTCTGGAGCCGATCCTCCACCCAAGGTCGAGGCTGTGGCCATCAGCGGGGACACCATCTTGGCTGTAGGTACCATCGACGCGGTCTTCCGCCATGCCGGACCCCAGACCCAGGTGTATTTCCTGAACCAGCAAACCCTGATGCCTGGGTTCATCGAGCCCCACCAGCATGCCATCCAGTGTGCCCTAATGCGCAGTCAGTACACCAACATCGGTGCACTCAGTTACAGGTAGGGGAGGGGATTGTCACGTGCCCCCCTAGAAGGGTAAAGGGTGAAAAATGCTAGTTTCCATGAAATTGCCTCGGAGCCGATACCCCAGCTGTAGGTTTAATGGTGTGCTATAGTCGGTGCTTTGTGCGTCCCCGCCTGTTTTATTGCATTCCTGGTGATACCTGTGAGTAGGTAGTGCAAATCGCAAGCTTTGTGTGTGATTGTATTACTGAAATGGTGTTTTTGCAAGTTATTTACAAATCTACCCTTCAATCCACAGATCCTACGATGACGTCCACGCTGTCATGGTGAACAGAATCAGTGAGCTGGCGGCAGACCCCAATAACGAGTCCTGGGCCATCTTCTTCGGCTGGGACCCAGAGCTCATCCCTGACTTGCCGACTCTCAGCGCCGATTTCCTGGACGTCAACTTCTCTTCCACCATCCCGATTGTCGTGATTGGACAGAGTGGTCATGTGGCCTGGGTTAATCACCCAGCTCTCAAAGCACCAAAACCAGAGGCAAGTTAAAGAAATATTCAAGTCTTGTGGTTTTGAGCCAGCAATAATGAGCATTTTTCAAAAGGGGAAACATTGTATACTCTAGAAATTGGAAGATGACAGGCCAAAATGACTTGAAATGTCCAATTTCGGTCGAATTTGTAAACTCTGTAATGTCTTTTTGCAAGCTTGAGAACTAGAGTTTTTTTTATTCGGCTCTTTTTCAGACTCGGGAAAGAAACGCTCGCATTTTTATAAAATGCGATTGAAAAATGCTTTTATTTTTCAGATTGGACACAATTACCAAAGTCCACCAGGAGGTACTGTAGTACTTGATGCTGAAGGCAGACCTACGGGACAACTGTTTGAGGAGCCTGCCATGATGCTCGTTATGAAAGAAGCCCCTCTACCCAGCGAGCAGGCCATGGCCGAGTCCTTCTATCAGCAGTGGAGATCCTACGCCTCGGCCGGTCTGACTACCGTGACTGACCTTGCATACATGCCCATGCCAGAGCTGGATGCAGTGCTGAAGAAGGCTGCTGATGCCAAAGATTTCCCAGTTCGCCTGGGTGAGTTAATGCACTGAGCAACATTCTGCATGGATGTTGGCAATGTATTGCATTTTTGTGGCGTAAGTTAAACTTGTTTAAATGAGAGTTGTATCGAAGAACAACCCATACCATTTTTTTTTTCAAAAAAAGCACGAGGTCTACTTTTATACTAAAAGACATGTCATACTTCAACAGGCGTACATGTAAAGAGGTTTCGCTAATTTTCATTAAATTCTCAAGTTCTAGAACTTTAAGTAGGTGATATTTCTAGTAGATACTGATCTGCAAGTTATTTCTTTCTGCACAGGTCTGTATAAGATGATCCATGCAGTGAAGGATGCAGACGTGACGAAATCCCCACCATTTCCTGTTGCGCAAGGCCAATGTGTCAGCCAGCTTATCCGCATTGGACCCAAGAAGGAAAAGACTGCCGGCGAAGGTGTTGGCAACTACAACTCCCGACTATGGGAAGCTGGTCTGAAGCTAGTAGCCGATGGTTCCCCGCACTGCGGCACCGCAGCTACCCGTGAGCCCTACCTGTTCACCCCACTGACCGAGACCCTAGGCTTCCCCAAGGCCCCCGGTTATGGCGTTCTGAACATGGAGACTGATGCACTCTTTGACACTGTCAAGAGACACCACCAAGAGGGGAAGCAGCTGGCGATCCACTGCCATGGGGAGAGAAGCTCCGAACAGGCCCTGAAGGTGTATGAACAGGTAGGTAAAAGTTTACACAAGCTTGCTAGGCTGGAAAAGATGAGGGCATAAAACCAATTGTCAGTCAGCCATCTTGAATCATATGCAAGGCCATCGCCTCTAGTTGCCTACATAAATATTCTAAATCTGCATGAATGATGCAGAAGGAACAAATATAAATAAAACAGTCGGGCCCTTTCCAATTTATCATTGTTCAATAAATGAAGTGATTTCAAGGAGCATGATCCAAAATGGCCATCTAGTGAATGAAGCCCACTGCCACTTTTGGGCAAAAATCTCGTATAGAGACAAGTCTCTTCTCTTCAGCTTTCATCTTAGCTAGTCTTGCTTGCCGCAAACCCATTTCTGCAATTATCCAGATAGTAGATTCATTTCACTAAGATTAATTCTTCCCACTGAAAAAATGCAATTTCAATATTGTAATGCTTCATCCTTCAGTCAACATGGAAACTCCAAATGTGGATGCTCAGAAACGCCATTTTACTGAACTTTGAATTACTGTTTAATTTGTACAATGGGCTTTTGTCTTCAGGAAATATTTGATAAATGGTAGCAATTTTGGACAATATCCTTAATGCAGGTGTTGGCCCAGTTCCCAAATCAAGACAACCGCCATCGCATGGAGCATCTTGGCCTGATGACTGTGGATCAGATAGCTCGTGCTGGAAAGCTTAACTTAGCTCTCTCCTTCTTCGTGGATCATCTCCGCTTCTACGCCAAGGTGTACAAGACCGACATTTTTGGTGACAGAGTTGATCGTTGGACTCCACTGTCCGAGGCTACCAAGAGTGGTGTGACGTGGACTATCCATCAGGTAAAAATCCAATCTCCGAGCTCGGCCCAATTTCTCTCTACTAAGAACTACAAAACTCAAATTAGTGTACATAAAGCTTTAAAAATTTACCAATGACTCCTTTGCCTTGCTAATCTTCATCTCGCAATTAAAATCTATTTTTCTGTTGGAAGAATGCATGAAAAATGCCTGCTTTCAACACAAAGCAGCCAAAAATTTTAAAAGCAAAAGCTTTTCCCTCAATTCAATTTCCCTGAAAACCGATACTTCCCAAACTGTTTCAAAACTTAAACCTGAACAAGTATTTAAAATCTAGGTTTTAAGTGGAACAAACCACAGATACCCTATGCAAAAGATTAAATTGATCTCTATTTTCCAATAGGATCATCCCACGTTCCCTGGAGAGGCCAACCCTTTTGCCAACATCAAGACGGCCGTCACTCGCTGCACCAGAGACGACCCCAAGACTCCCTACGGTCCAGAGTACCGCGTGTCCATCCATGAAGCCCTCAAGTCCTACACGGTCAATGCTGCCTGGCAGCTTCACCTGGACCAAAAGGTTGGAAGCATCAAGGCCGGCAAGAAGGCCGACTTTGTGGTGCTCTCTGAGAACCCGTACGACGTGGACCCGCTCGACTTGGAGCGTATTCGCGTCATCGAGACCTTCGTGGATGGACGCCGCAACAACCTTGCCAACATCAAGACCATACCCACCGTCAACGTCAAGGTCCTGGACCGATCTTTCCAGCAAGTACAGTCTGCTACCAAATGAACAAATAGAATGACAATTTTTCTCCATGCCTCTGTTTAAGAGGGATAAAGTAGGCCTTGCATCGTTAAATAACCTAAACGAGTATACGAGACTGAACAAACATACAAGTTGATTACTTAATAATCTTTATTTAACATAAACATTGAGCATGTGTATTTCCTAACAAATATTGCACTATTTGAAGATCCACCACCCGACTTGGATTCATTGTCAAGTGACATTTATTTAAAGTATTGCTGGTTTAATGAGGCACAAAAGATTATTCTATTTTCATATAATTTGAAATTGCTATTCAATGACAGATGACTGAACTACATGTCAATTTTGTAAACCATTTCAGATCTTTAGTACTTGTTTGGAAGTAAAATTACAGCTTTCAAGTGTTTAACTAATGAAGGGTTGGCAAGACAATAAAAACAAACTGCATTGAAAAAAATCTGAACCTCTTCACTGGTCTGTTATTGTCTTGCATGGTAACTTTTATAGCAATTCAAAATTTCTTCAATGCAGCATGTGAGATTTCTGAACTACCTGTTTCACATCAATTTCAAATCCAAGTACCTATTTATAATTTGTCCAATAAGAAATGGGAATTCAAAAGAACTGTTCTCTAACATCTCCGCACTGTTTCTTGATCACTTTCAATTCCTGCAAGTGAACCACAACGCTCGAATCAACAATGTTGAAGTAACATTTACTTCAAAAGGAGACCGGTTCAAACTTGTAGAAATTTAACGACTGAATCGATGCACCCTGAGGAACAGCAAACTGTTCCATTGCTTAAAAATAAACTCCTTTCTTCAGTTCTGTTCAGCCTACTTAAAGTAAAAAGCAGAGCTGGTCATGGAAAATAAGTTTGGAAGCATGCCAAAGAGTTGATCCATCTTGGAATTTATAGGAGTTGAATCACATACACCAGAAATCCTAAACCAGAATGAACTTGCAACAGAATAAAATATTAAAGTTTCTATTTAATATTTCAGTTAAATTTGTGCATAATTGAATATATCTAACCTTTGCTCCATATTATGGAAATGTTCATCATAGATGGTTCATTGCTAGCAACAGTACTTAACAAAATATCAACACGAGTTGACCACATGCAGACCACTGCATAAACGAAGGAAAATTCTTGTCCTCGCAACATTGAGAATTTAACATCTGTCGGCAGCATTTGTCTCAACAGCTTGGCTTGAGATGGAACTATCCCGAGAATTATTGCATCTGAAAGAAACAAAGCAAAAGATATACATTTTATCAGGGGAATGTGCCACAGATTAAGAAGAAATGGAGTCAAATAGGATCGTTTTGGGGTCCATTATGCACTGTTGTCAAACTTCCAGACATCACCCTGCACTGTTGACAATTAGTCAGATTAATAAGGTATCTTCACCTTGTAACTTTTGATGGCTGGGCAAAAAGCCCATATTGAGGCCTACAGGTGAAATAACGAACGCCAGCGACTGAGCCGTCATTCTTGCCTTCTGGTCCATCTAACTCCACTCCATACCACCAACCTACAGATAGAATCAACGAGACAAGTCATTACAACGACTGATTCAACCAAACCTCGGATATAATTCAAGACATTTTGATTTTGATGGTGTTCGCATTCTGCAAAATGTCTAGTACCTGCAGCAAATTGTGTAAAACCACTATATTGCACAATGCCATGCCGAGGTGCCTGACCAGCTATCGAGACCCTGTCACCGACACACACGTCCTCGAACTTCCCAGCAGCAGAAAATGTTCGCGATCGAAGCCCTGCAAAGGAAATATCAAAAGCAGAGTCCTCCATGAAAAGTTACCTGTGACCTTTTCACTTTATAATCAAGCCAGCCTGGGTAAGAAGATAAGGGTTTATGGCAACTTCAACGCGGTGCCTCTTCACTATCCATTTCCATTCAACATTTTGCAAAAACGAGAAAAGTGTTCGGACCTTTTGGGAGTTAACTGTAATTATACTGAGGGGAGGCAGTGGAGATGAGGGGTGTTATAAAAGTTTCCCACTAGACTTCAGAAAACACGTATGTATGATTCATGGTACACAAATGGTGCCCAACCTTTGACCCTTTGTGTCTTGATGTGGATGAGTTCATAGAGTTGCTGGTCTTTTAAACATGACCCAAAATGAGTTATGTGGACCTAACCACGATCCAAACCAATGCAGTCCCGGTGGCTTACCAGTATCAACCTTGGGTGAGACATGGGAGACGTCAATTTTACCATGATAAACAGCGGCTGTGCATCCCCCGCCAGACCTCGGCGTACTCGGACGAGGGCTCACCACAAACTTGGACACTTTGGACAGAGGTGCAAAGATCCCTACACACAAACACATAGACTGATTCTATCAACAAATTTAGGATCTCTGTTACATGAACAAGGTATGTTCTGTTATTTTCACTTTTTTTTTGCCCTATGAGATGTGCAAAAACGGTGTAATTTTTTAGTTCTCAAACATACACAAGTCTAATTAAATAAATGATTTCTCTTTCCCACATGAATGAAAAGAAAACAATAAGAAACATAGAACAACAAGAAAGCACTTAACCACTTGCTGCCGGGTGGTTTGAAAAATGCAGTGCACATAATTGGGACTTTTTCAAGATCTGAGTTTTCAAAATTCTTCAAAAAATTCATCATTTCAATTAATGGAAGTTTACACCCACATGAATTACTGTCTGGTGGCCACTATATTCTGACAGACAAAATCTATTGACGCCCAAGTATTTCAGTCAGGCCTGCAGCCTTGTAAAAAGAGCCCAAATTGTGAGGTGTTATGTAACTTTCTTTTGTTCATGAACCTGGCACACTGCGCGACTCATCGCTGCGGTGGTGGAGCGGTGGTGGAGCGCTTTTGTCCCAGTGGTAATCGGATTGCAATAAATGCCAGAAACCGTGGTATACCGTTTCAAAACAAGGCTGAATTTTCTCCACTATTGACAGTGAAAAACTGTTGGTAATGCTCAGTAGCCTGGTCTTTTGTTCTGAGAACAGTCCTTTGTTACAAGGCCCAGTTCCCTTTGTCCAATTTCGGAGACCCCGGTCAAGCGTATAAACACACGGTGTCCGAATTGAGGCTCCCCAGCAGGAAGTGGTTATATGTGGCATCAAAATGAATATTCAGAGGATATTGTCTTTCCTCAAATTCCCTTCAACAGGCAAAAACTACTACAAGTTGGAAGAAACATTTTGAGAGGAGTACAAACTCCTGAAATTTTTGATTTACAGAAAGTAGATCCCACAATGATCACAATAGCCAAAAAAATTTACAATACCGTGCTTTTGAGGGCACTCAAAGTAGGTCACCCCTTCAACTGTTCCGTTGTGCTTCCCTATCGCTTCATCAAGCTCGATCCCTGCCCACATTCCAGGAGCAAACTGAGTTGTGCCATAGAACTGCAGCGTGCCTGCCTGATAACAATGCCAACATTAATTTGAGCAAATGAAAACTGCTAACGACTAAAAAGATCTTTTAGTCCAGCCCAAGCCATTGAAAATATAACATAACTGCTACACTTACAACACAAGCAATTGGCCCAGAATTACCCAGGAGAAGCATAAATATCCAGCACTTAAAGGGAAAGCAAATAACAAGATGACGGTCAGGAAACAATGACTAGACGGAATGGAGGGTGATTTGGGACAATTCTTTCTACCTTGGAGTCACCCAGGTACACCCTGTCGCCAAACCCTAATCCAAGGGAAGCCAGCAGCACTTTGCTGGGTACATCGTCGTAGTTCTGCGGCGAGTACTTCGGCCGGGTGAACTGTGAGTCTGGATGCAGCAGCTGCCGCAGTTTACCGGCTGTGGCCTCCCAGCCGGGCCTGCTGATGTCACTGGAGTCCGGCACACAGTGGAGAGCCATGCGACCCTGGGTATCCTTAGCATGGCTGTTTGCTCCCAGCTGCAGCAGACAGCGTACTGACTCCAGACAGCCGTTAGCCGCTGCAATGTGGAGAGGGGTGCCATTGTCAAACTCACCACACCTGGATTCAAGGTCTGGAAAAAAATAAAGTGAGATCCTTGATCTTCTAAAACCAAACTTCGGAAGCTTGGTATTTTCCTCAGATTGATAAGGCAATTAACATAAATACATCTCATGTAAAGAACAGCAGCTGTAACAACTCCCACAATGACCTTGTTTGAAAACTCGGAGAAGAGAAAGCCCTGCAGCTATACAACGGTGTGCTGTGAAGAAAAATGTGTGCTGGGATCACAATGTGCATTTCATTAAAATTTGGACAAAAATCTTGAAGTCCTACAGAACTGACCTTTGAACTCAGTTGATTTCAGCAGGAGTCTGATAATAGGCACTATGTCAAAGAAAACAGCGTAGTGAAGCGCTGTCATGTCTGTCCATCGACTTCTCAGCTCCGGTGAGGCCCCATACTCCAGGAGCAATGACGTAAGCTTGGTGGCAGAGGCTCTCTCTCCAACCCCATCGCAGCCCGCCTTACAGGCATAGTGGAGAAGGGTCATATCTGTCAGGCCGTCGCGGTCATCAACGTGGAAGTCCCGTTGAAGAATCTGCAAACAAACAAGTGGAAGTTTGAAGTAAGAAAGTGACCACTAACGACGTGTATCTGTCAGAATTCATTTCCTTGGCATTGAATGATTTGATGAAATCCATATTTTTATGCCCTACCATCAATCTTTTGCAGGGAGGTGCCATGGAAGATTGCTTACTAACTCTTAATATGGTACATTCAGGAAAAATGTACCTTTTTTGCAACAAAGCAACTGAAATGCTATTCAACTCAAATTTTTTTTGGGGGGGGAATAAATTAAACTTTAAAAATTGAGTCTAAATTTCAACACAGCTCATCAAAAAAGAAGGAGGTGGGAACTTCCTCCAATGAATATTAGCATCTCTAATTCCTCTGGTCTAGCTCAGTGTTGCAGATGATAGTTCTTACC